GCCAGAAACTGTCATTCCAACCGCCCTTGTCTTTGTCGGTGATGCTCTTCTGCCTATGGTACTAGTCGTTATAAAGCTGCTAGCGGGGCTCGATGTAAAGAACTCTAAGGCACAACGGGGTGATTAGGTTCCTTGCCCAGATCGGTTGACGCCCCATTACCACTTAAAATAACTAGCCCTACGCTTAACCCAAACCCAAAGCTTAATCTTTCTGAAGGTTAAGGGGGGGGAGTGTTCACTTCCATGTCCTACCAATATGTCTGCCAGCTTACCGGAGAAGTGAGCACAAAGTTCTCCCATGTAACCAAACTGTCATTTCACAGCTAGAACTTACAGTTTTAAAAACATTTGGTCGTGGCTGTTCGGTCGCAATTTAGCTGCATTAGGTGCCCGGGGTAATTTACAGACCTCTGTCTTCGCTACTAGTGCCGAAAATAGGGATGTTTGCTGCGTCGAAACACCTTAATAATAGGGCATCTGATGCGCGTAGTAATTGCCCCACTGAGCCCATATCTGACAACCAATTAAAGCGAAGGAATAGATCCAATTAAGTACTTTATTAATTTCACTGCAAGGCGGCCCTTTTTCTTTCTGTGAAACCTTATGAAGCCCGTAAAGTTACATGAGGCTTCCAGTAGACAGGGACATTACGCTTAGTCAGACGCAGCGCCTTTGCTACCAGCACATTCCCAAATCTCATCGTCATACTAGGAGAGCAATAGCAACTCCCAAGGTGGTCCAGACTAATTCGGGTCTGCTATTAAGTAAGCCAAAGTTATGACGCTGTAGACGCCCCACAGCTCTACTTCCTCCCTCCACGTCATGCCACACATGTGGTCACGTGATTGCAAGTCTCGACTCGCCTCTGAGACAGCCATTCACGGGTACCACTAACTGGCGCAAAGCATGCACTAGTTTGCCTCCCCGGTGCGGCTTATCGCCTTCAAGGCTGACTCACAAAGGACCTCACTGTCATAACTGCCTACGCTCACATACTTTGGATGCCAGCTTCGCAGCCGGAAGCACGGCAGTCCGAGTCTCAATTTCCTCCAACCTAATCGCCATTCCTTATATACAGAACAAAGTATTCCTCCCACGCTGCCCACCCACATGTTCTCCTTCCCACATGATAGAAGCGGCAAGGATTTTCACAATTAGCCGTAACCCACAGTGATTATGATGACCCCGAAGTTATCTGAACTCGTAACTTCTGATGTGGCTGAGCTCAATCATCATCCCCTTCGACTTCTATTGAACGGCAGGACTGTCTTGTAGGTCTGCCTTAATATCTAGTCCCTCGCCCAAATGTCTTGATGAATAAGTGGTCGAACGTTTAATTCTTGGTAAATGAGTGTCGATGAATATGTAATTGTGACGGAAGTGACCGAGGAATATTAACTTAAAGTCACATGTAGTCATTTTAATAAGCTTAATAGAATCAACTTCATCAAAATAAAATCCTGTTGCTCGGGCATTTGGTGCCTACTGCTGAGAACTTGACCTTATATTGGCGGAATTTGACGAAAAAGGGAAATTTAACCTTATATTGGCGGGGATTAACGAAACATGGAAAGTCTGGCTACTGCAAAATTTAAAAGTAGGTTGTTATTATTATAAGTGAAAGGCCAGTAGGACCTCTAAACACAGTCCTACCTATTGAACTTCCCTCTATTCTCTTATGTGTTCGCGATATGGAGAATGCAGTCACCGACATCCTGTCGTGAAGCGTATGTAAATCCTCAACCACTCACAGTCCATCAAACCCAGCCTATGGTTCCTTCGCAATCCAGCAGAGGAGTCTTGCTGTGAGTGCCAGCAACCAGACCTTCTCAGCAGCGTGTAGTGTAATTAAGGCAGCGTCAGAGATACAACCTCATCCACGGAAACCATATTTACTCCCTCGCGTCTAAAGGGCGCGGATAGGGCAGCATAAGTAAACAGCGGTGACTAGTTCGAACCCCTGTGGGCGACCACAACCCAGTCTCTGCCTTACGACCGCCCCCTCCCTCGACTAAAGAGGGTGACCGGGAATGTCTGTTTAATGGTCAAGCGACCGGAGAGAATAATTTGTCTGTTGCACACGACATAACTCGCTTTTATGTAGACGCTACAGTACACGCCAAGCCTACCGAGGTTGGTGCAGATTACACCGGCCTCTGCAGCCACCGTCACAGGAAGAGGTGCCGCGGTGCCGAGAATTTGACTTCATCATATGTAAGAATGATCGGTATGGGTTATGTGAAAAGAAAAAAACGTTTGAGTGTGATCCTCAGGACCTGGTTCCGTGTGGAAAGAGAAGAAGGGAGAAGCCAGAATGTTGTTTTTTCCTGTAAATAGGGAAGTGGAGCACAGGTAGGAGGAAGTGGACTGTCAGACGAGCATACTCCTTCCCGGAACTTTGTGACAGTCATCCCAGCGGCCTTGTGGGAGCCTGGCACTTCTGACTCACGCTGTCTGCCCTTGTTCGCCGCGCACTTCGAAACCGCTGCCAGAAGCCATATGCTCCCCACGTCTGTTAGCAGCAAGCTCTGCGTATGTTCCAGCCAATCGATGAGCGCCTGTCCACCTCGTTGGCTGCACCTTCACACAGAGCCCATTCCGCAGGCAACGCAACACTTCTTGCCGGACTGACTTGGAGTGCAGAGCTCAGCTTTTTACTGTCTATTTTTCTGTCAGTAAACTTCTGTTCACCAACACCGTCTTGCTTGACTTGTGATTTGGGGGAACCTTCGGTTTGTCGACGTTACTACTTGCGACAGCCTCATCAGAATCAGCCTTGAAAGTGATTGGCCGGACCAGGGGGCAAACCAGTTCATGCATTGCGCGTAGTTTTCAGAACTTGTGCTTGGCTGTCCCGGAGGCTAGTCGAGACTTGCAATCACGCGATCTTATGCGTGGCGTCGAAGGTGGATGACGTAAGTGGGTAGCTAAAGGATCTCGTCCAGAAGTTGCCCTGTCGGCCCCATGAAATTCACAATCGCCAATTCTCAGTAGGACCCCCACCGAGATAGATTAGCCACCTTACTTTGCATTTGCTTCCATACAACTTTGGTAGCAACAAAGATACACCCCATCCACAGATAATATCTATGCGGCTATATGTTTTTCAGCATCTGTTCTACGCAGGACATCATAAAAGGTTTCCAAGAGCTCCTCTGTGCCGAAAACGGCGTATTGAAAATCACCACTGGAGCGGAAATGTTGTGAAGTACAGACGTATTCCTACTCGGATGAATAAGTCTTTTTAATGAAACCAAACCGAATGTCATTGGTTGTTAGTCATTGTTGTTTCATCATCTTAGACGA